TTACAGACAGGAACGACCATTACAAGTCTCACCCGAAGGGCCTATCAGCTGTCTAGCCTATAAACCATGATTACATAAATTTCATAAAGAAAATTTAAAGTCCAGATCCAGAAAAACGTATTTATAAATAATCAACAGTTATATTCCTACTTCCTTATCAGGCTCTGATATCAGATAACTCGAAGTGGATCAACGGAAAATAAAATAGACTAAAAGGAAAGTAGGCAGTAGTTGGACTACTAAATGAAATGCAGAATGTAAAGTGCGGAAATTTAAAGTAATAAATTTAAAACATAAAAAACCAGAACAGTGGTAGAACCGGCACAGATCTAGTGGAGGGAGAAGAGAAGAAAGCCGGACGACGGTAGTCTGAATAGAGCCGGCTAAGAGGAAAGAGAGAAAAATAACAAGAAACAACAAACTTTTATTTAAAACTTAGAGAAAAGCTTACAAGAAATATTCTCAGAGCACTTCTCACTAGTTTCTCTCTCTAATATTGCTTAATGAAATGGTACCTCACAATATATATATATAATCAGAACATGTAGAAAATAATATAAATAATATAATTATAAATAAATTATATAATAATATATATTTTTGTAACTTGCACATGTTTTAATTAAATTATTAGTTAATTTATCAATTTATATATAATATATAAGTATGTGTTTTAATTTATTGTATCAGTAATATTTTCTATATTACATTAATGTTATAGTGTAGTTAATTTTACTTTTATTTATTAATTTAAAATAAAAAATTAATAAAACAAACAAAATTAAATTTTTTGTAATTATTTTTAATTAATAGTTATTATTGTTGTTATTTTATATATATATATAGTACATTAATTTTAAATTTTTATATTAAGTTTTATCACATATTTTTTTTATTAAGATAAAAATTTAGAAATATAAGTTATTTTAATTTAAATATAAATTTTTAACAATTCTTTTTATGCTCATATATTATTTTTCTGCACTATAAATTTTATAATATAAATATTTTTTATTTACAATTTTTATAATGATGATATTTATTTACTTTTCAAAATATAATTACTTTTTTAGATGATTCAACAAATTTTATAAGTGTTATTTTTTATTATCAATTTTATTTATTGAATATAAAATGTCTTTATACAAACAAAATATAATTATCATAAAAAGTAATTAAAATCTTTAATAATTTAATAATTTTATAAAATTAAATTGAGAAAAATAAAAATATAAAATTTTTATAATTAATGCTCAAATAATATTTTAAAAATTACTTATAAAATTGTATAAAAATTATTATAGTTATTTAATAATTATCAATAACACAAATAAAAATTTGAATATATGTAAACTAATTTGATAATAAAATAAATATATTTTTATTAATATTATTCAATAACAACAATCATTATAAATTTTTAATATTATACAAATTTTATTTTATTTTTTTATCTTGTCTTAAGCAATTTTATTGATATAAAATTTATAATAAAAAATTTCATTAATTGTATTCACTATATCACAACAAATCACAAATTTAGTACAATCACATACATCTGAGCTAAATCTACTATCTCTGTTTGTCTTTTTTCTCGGATCTCACCACTGCCCACCTTCATTCGCTATTTATTTTCATCTTCGTCCTTTGATCTAGTTACTGTCCACCTCTATTTGTTGTTCATCACTGTTTATCTTCTTCCTCTGTTGGTCACTTCCATTTGCATTTCTTCCTCCATTGTTGTATCTAGCTCTGCTGCACGCCACATCCACCTTCACAACAGGGCACTTGCTTTCAGCATAATACTTTGCAAATATTTTTGGTTTGAAGAAGAATAAGACACGATTAAAACTAAACGAATTAAAATTTAAAAATAAAATATTGATATTCTTTTAATAAATTTTTCATATTTTTAATTTTATTATTATTATTATTTAATTATTATATTAATATATTATGTTATAATTTTTTATATTCATAATAAATAGAAATTGATTAAATATAAATTATATTTTATTTAAAAGTAAAAATTTATAAAAAATGATAAGAAAATAAAAAAATTCATTATAATATATATATATATATATATAATCAGATCATGTAGCAAATAATATAATTATAAATAAATTATATAATAATATATATTTTTATAACTTACACGTGTTTTAATTAAATTATTAGTTAATTTATCAATGTAGTATATAAGTATATGTTTTAATTTATTGTATCAGTAATATTTTTTATATTACATTAATATTATAATGTAGTTAACTTTATATTTATTTGTTAATTTAAAATAAAAAATTAATGAAACAAATAAAATTAAATATTTTGTAATTAGTTTTTTTAATTTAATAGTTATTATTATTGTCATTATATATATATATATATATATATATAGCATTAAGTTTAAATTTATTTATTTTTTAAAATATAATAATTTTCTTTTAATTAATTCAACAAATTGTGTGAATGTTATTTTTTTTTTATCAATTTTATTTGTTTACTATAACTTTATTTGTTGAATATAAGATATTTTTAAAATAAAACTAAAATCTTTATTATTTATATAATTTTTAAAAAATAAATCAAGAAAAATATAAATATAAATTTTATTAATATAAAATATTTATAATTAATGCTTAAATAATATTTTAAAAATTATTTATAAAATTATATAAATATTATTATAATTATTTAATAATTATTAATAACATAGATAGAAATTAGAAAAATATATAAACTAATTTGATAATAAAATATTTATATTTTTATTAATATTAATTTTATTTTTATTGTAACAGGCTTTATTAACAGGCTTCAAGTTAGGTCAGGTCACTTAAATAGGTCAGGCTAAGTCTAAAATAAAATCTTTAATAGATAACAGGCCAAATTCAGGCCTAATAATTATGTTACAGGTCAAGCTTATTTAGAGTAAAGTCTGATGAAACCTGACTTATTTTCATTCCCAACAATAAGCAGAGAAAGGCGAGACAGATAATTTGAATCTGAGTTTATTATAAAATATAAAAGTGTGTCCACATTTTACTCCGTATAATAATACGGCATGCTACTTAGTTTTTTTGTCAGATTGTAAAGACATCTCACAACAGAAAGTTACAAAGTTAAATAAAGTAGCAAAAAGTGATATAAAAGTGTTTTAAAGTATTAAAATATGTTTCATTGAATGCAAACGTTTCTTGTAATAAATTATACACAAGAAAAGTTTACTATAACAATTTTACTACTTTAAAATTATGAAAAATAATATTTTTTTTCCATCTAATGCGGCAAACTACTTATTTTTTGTTGGATTATAAAGAAATATATTTTATCTGATAGTTACATATTTAAATACAAGTAGTAAAAAGTAATATAAAAGTGTTTTAAATTCATCAAAATATATTGCATTGAATGTGAATATTTCTTATAATAAATTATATGAAGAAAATATTTATTATGACAATTTTACTATTTTAAAAATATAAAAAAATAATATTTTTTTTGGTATAATGCGGCATACCACTTACTTTTTTGTTAGATTATAAATACATCTTATAACAGGTAGTTACATATTTAAATTTAAGTAGAAAAAAAATACTGTAAAAGTGTTTTAAATTCGTCAAAATATGTTTCATTGAATATAAAAATTTATTGTAATAAATTATTCAAAGGAAAGATTTATTATAATAATTTACTACTTTAAAAATATAAAAAAATAGTATCTTTTTCCATATAATAAGGCATACTACTTACTTTTTGTCAAATTGCAAATGTATCTTCCAACGAATAGTTACATATCTAAATACAAGTAGCAAAAAGCAATATAAAATTGTTTTAAATTCATCAAAATATGTTTCATAGAAATATTTCTTGCAATAAATTATATAGAGGAAAGATTTATCATAACAATTTTACTATTTTAAAATATGAAAAATAGTTTATTTTTCCATATAGTTTTAATTTTATCAATATATGGAACGATTATTTTAGAAATCAATGAAACGCAGATAGTTACACTGCTCTTACTTAATTTTATTTACTTTGGTCAGGAAAATCAGTATTACCAACTCAAGAGCTTACTAACCCTGTTTTGTTCTTATTTGGTTATAGAGATATTAATATTTTAAAGTAAGGGTAAATTTGTCATTTAAATCATATGTTTGCGGCTTTAAAATGAGCCGAAGTCACACTACTTTCCTTCACTTCTATCATCTATCTTCTTCTTCTTCACTCTAGTCATTATTTTTCTCGAGTATTGTAAAGAAAGCTTGATAAGATCAAAGAGAAGTGAAGGTATATCTTCCTCTATTTAAACTCTCTTTCTCTGCATCTCTACATATGTGTGTTCTTGAATTTTTCATTATACTTGTTAATTTTAATCTAATTTTATACACCATTCATGTCTGTACTTTTGATAAATTTGCATGTAAAAATAGTTCATAGAAACATCATTTATTTGGCTTTCTACTCCTTAACAAGCAAGGAAAAGAAAATTGCTCATCATAAATCATGAGCTAAGTAGATTTATAAAATGGTTGTAATTGTTATTTAATTTTACCTTAATGTGCTTACTTGGTTGGCGCAATTAGGTAACTAAATCGAACTAATTTGGCAAATTAATAAAAAAAATACAAGTTTTATACATAAACTTCTTTTGTGGCAAATGCCCATTGTAAAAGTTTTTACTCAGGAAAAATATAAATTTTTATTTTTTTTACCATTATGCCATTAATTATTATTTGATTTAATTTTTTAAAATATCTATTTAAATTTTTTTTTCAATATATATATATATATATATATATATATTCTTTTCTCTGCATAGGCTAATGGTTTTGTATAATAATTTTTATTTATTTTTAATTTAAAAATTGAAAAATTAGATATTTCCTAAAAATAATCTATCTTGAAGCATTATTTATTTCTTTTAAATTATTATATTTTTCACCGTTTTATTTTTCTTGTCTGGTGCATATACTTTAATTTTCATTAAAAACATGGACAACAGCATGGAGCAAAACAAGCAAAGGCAACCAACAGCAAGGTCGAGTGGTTCTCAGGCACAGCAACATCTCCCAAACCAGAATGAAAGCAACCAGCAACAGATGATACCATCACCCAACCAGCAACAAATAATACCATCACCCACCATCAATGCTCATTCTCATTCAGCCTTTTCAGCTTTCATGAGAGGCCAACAAAACCAATGCATGCCTAAGCCACCACAACCTGATCCCTCCCAAGCACTTCAACAACAACTCCTCAACTTCTGGGCCAAACAGTTTGGGGAAATTGAGGAAAAAACTGATTTCAGTAACCATAGCTTGCCCTTGGCCAGGATCAAGAGGATCATGAAGAAAGATGAGGAGGTGAAAATGATATCTGCTGATGCATGTGTTATTTTTGCCAAGGCATGTGAGATATTCATCAAGGAGCTCACTTTAAGGTCTTGGGTCAATGCTGAGGAGAACAAGAGAAGGACTCTTCAAAGGAATGACATTGCAACTGCAGTTACTAGAAGTGAGGTGTTCGAATTTTTGGCTGAAACTGTCCCTAGAGATGACACAATGGAGCATGATCTGTATGCGGGTAAGTTCTACTATTCATATAATCTTTTTATATATATATAATAAGATTTAAATATATTTGTAGCTTTAAATTTACTTGTAGTTTTTTCTAAATGTTGATTTTAATTTTTATGTTTTTAAATATTTTCTATCATTTACTTTTAGCTTTAATATGTCATTTAATAACTATTTGGGGTAGTAAATGATGGATAAATATTTCACCATCAATAAGTACGTAGTAGTAATATAAACATTTTTTAAAAAATTAAAATTTATGAGGACTATAATTAAGAAAAAATACGTAAAAGCCAAACAAAATTTACGCATATTTATTGGAATTAAATTCATAGTCTGCTTTTTTTAATAACTTATATAATATTAATTATCTAGTGTTATAATTTCCCATATTGTACAAACTAATTCTACAAATATAATCCCTCATTTCAGGCATTCAGAGGGGTGGTGGCAGTGCAAGAAACATGGAGCTTGGTCCTAACTATTATCGTATGCCACCACCACCACCACCACCTAGGAATGTTGCGGCTCCTTCGTATGGACTTCCGAGTATGACTATGGGAAGGCGTGTTCCAAATCAAGCTCGTTCGAGGAACCGTATGACCCGTCCTTCGGGAACTCGAGTGTGGCCACATTCACAGCAGCCAAACCGTGCTCCTGATTCGGATGATAATTGAGCTAATAATAGTCATTAGGTGAAATTAATAAGAGTGAATATTCACCATGTTTAGATTTCAATTCAGCATCCTTTATGAGTTATTATGGATTAAGTCATTGGAACCTTTACCTTTTATCTTATTATTTACTCTTTAATTGTGTGTAGCTTTAGTTAATGTAGTCAATTTTTGTATGAATATGTCAATATATGAAGCCGTTTTTAATGGAAAGTTTGGGGTGAATTTGTTAATGTATTAATTGTTTTAATTTTTATGCTTGTAAGCTGGACAAGTTACATATGAGAATATTAAAATTAGTGAGTAGGTAAAGGCGATGATGTCGATAAAGATAATTTAACTCTAGTAATTACAAAAAAATTTCTGTAATTTGAAATCATGTGATCTTAATCACTCATATATACTATGAAATATAATTTTTTTTAAAATTATAAAAAACAACAAATGATTGGGTCCAGATAGTTTTAAATTATTTAATAACTTTTCAACTGCCGCCCATAACTTAAAAAGATACTATCATGCTTAACAAGACACATGTATGATTTTTTAATTATTTTTTTATAAAAAAAATTTGTTTCAGAGAAAGAAAAAAAAATGTGCTCGCTACTTAAATCAATAGATATTAAGACTATGTTTGGATTTTATGATGAAGAGAAGAGGAAAAGAGAAAGGAAGGGTTGGTCATCATTAACCTTTATTTGAAAGTTAATTAAATATAAGAAAAAGGATTAGTAAATTTTTCTAAACTCCTCAAAAATCTTATAACCTTGTTTTTTAGAGTTCTTCAATAGGATTTTAGTGACTCATGCAGTAAGTGTGGGGATTTATCATTTATATTTATAATTGTTATATTAAAATTTATCATGATTTAGAGTTAGAATATCAAGAAAAAAATAAAAAATATTTTTTCAAAACATAGTTTTTAGAGTGAAAAGTTTTTTTAAAAAGTAAAAAATAAAATTGTTATATTAAATTTTGTATTTTTGAAAAATAAAAAAGACAAAAATATATGAATAAAAAAATATAAAATATAATAATAAATTTTACATGTTAAAGCTTTCATTATCCTTATCTTTCAATATTAAGTATCCAAATAAAAGAAAGGTTTAACCCTCCTTTTCTGTCACTCCTAAACCCTTTCTTTCTGAGTTGTTTGGAAAAAAGAATTTTGAAGAGGAAAGGAGTGAAGGGCATAAATTTATATTTTAAATAAATATATTTAAAATTAATATTTTTAAAATATATATATATATATATATATATATATATAAATTAATATATTATTAAAAATTTAATGTATTAATAATGAATTTGTCATTATAAATAATATATAATTATTTTAATTTAAAATTAAAAAAATATGTACTCTCCTCCCTTCCTCTTCTAAAACCTCCTCTCAAACAACTCTTTAAACTCTTTCCTTCCCTTTCCCTTCAAATTCCCAAATAAAGTCTAAGACATTTGTAGAAGCAATTAGAATAAAAAATTTATGCATTTGTAAACTTTGTTATAAAATATGAATGTATGTTTAAATATTATTTTGTATAAAGTAGCATGTAATTTTTTCATATTGTAAATGTATTTTTTGACATTTATAAATTATAAATTTGAATATAAGCAACTTGTATCGTAATTTTTTAGAATATAATATTTTTGAAATGAGACTTAACATTCAAAAATTAAATAGGAGTCCAAGATAATTCACTTATATCATGAAAATTCTATTAATGTCATTTTATTATTCACAAAACTTAAATTTAAGACTTTATTTAAGAGAACTTATGCATTTAAGAGAGTTTGTTTAAAATTATGAAAGTATATTTACATGTTAATTTGTATAAAACATTGTGTTGATTTTTATTTTTGTTGCATTATAAATGTGTTTTAAAATGCATAGATTATGAATTTGACTATAAATGTGTTTTGATGTGTATTTTCTATTCAATTTGTTTACATATGCAAATAATACTCACAAATATATCAATCGTTTTACAAATTATAGTTCAAATTGACTCAATGAGGATTGGGCCTAAGTACCAATACTTCTTTAAATTTTAATTTGAATTCACAGTACAGTGGAATGACATAATTTGAGAGAGAGAGATTATAATAAGTATTTTTAGTATTTTGTAAATTAAAGACACAAAATTTCTGAAAATTCAATTAACAAAAGCAAATAGGATTAAATTCACTTCTTTTTGTTTCTCCTACGTACTAAAAGTTATCTTATCTATTTTACTTCTCATATAGAAAGTTAAGTTTTCTAAGATTGAATTAGCTTCAATTCTTTTAATGAAAATTCTCTATTCAATTAATCAAAACTCTAATTCCTAAGGCTAACTTGATTAATACATGCATTATTATTCAAGAATTCAAAAAAAATATCATAATCATTAAGTAGATTCTTCTACATCTCAACAATTATGATGAATTACTCAAATCAAACTAAACAACCAAATTCTCAATTCTGAAATCAAGTTTAACATTATTCTAAAGTTGGTCAAACCAAAGAATGCATTAAAACCAAACAAACTTACTCAATTGCCCCAAAAAAGAGTAAATAAGAATGGAAAACTATTGATAATATGGAAGATTTAAACAAAAATTCATCACATCGTAATTTAAAATAAACTATTCACGCATATGTATAGAAAACATAATAAAATTGATACAGAAGAAACAAATAAGTTCCATAAAGACCAAATAAATAAATAAAAAATCTCCCAAATGTTTGGAAATAAAAGAAAAGATGAGAAAAAAAATAGAATTTTTTTTTTAAACTCAATCAAAAATTTAAAAAATGTAAAAGATGAGCTTTTAGATGCTTCAATGGCATTGGAATGATAGCATCATGTCATCAAATAACATTTTTGCATAATTTCAACATTGAAACCCCCAATACTAGGTGTTGGAACATACAGGCAAGGTTGGCAGTTCAGGCACCAAGCATTGGAGCGGTCACTCGTGGGCAGTTAAATACTTGCTTTTCTATTATGTTAATTCAGCATTAGAACACTCACATCTAGGTATTAGAATACCCAAAGATAAAGACCTTTACGTTGCTTTTCTAAATCTGCATTGGAATGCCCAAAGTGATAATTTTAACTATTTATCTTTGTGCTTTTTGGACTCCTTTAACTTGAATTCTTTGTCATTTGGTCCTACAATAATAATAAAAAGAAAAAAGCAATAGTTAATACAACTCTCTTATAATTTGGATTAGAAATCTAAAATGTTTAATAACATAGATAAAAATTATAAACATTGATTATTATATGAATTTAGATTAAAAAAATTAAATAAATATGAGTTAAATAGTTTTTGAAAAGTGTTAAATAAATGCTAGAAATAGCTTATTTGTGACTTCAACATCTGAGGCCTTGTTTGGTAAAATGAGCTTAAAGTTATGAACTAGTAGCTTTTAGATGTGAAATTAGCTAAAAGTTGTAGACTTGTAACTGAAAGTTTATAACTATATAAGTAACTTATGAAATTAAATTATTTGACAAACTAGTTCTGCAATTGACTAATTTATGTTAAATTACTTAAATGAGATATAACTTATTGTAACACATCTTATTAATAAAAATGACATTAGTTATTCAAATAATAACTTAAATTTATTTTTAAAATTATTAATTTTAACACGTTATATCAATAAAGATTACATAAAGTGATTTAAATAATTTCTTTTTATATTTTAAAAATATTATTTATATACTTAATTTATTTTATCTAACAAAATATACAATTAATTATTAATAATAAAAAAAGGATGAAAAATATGGAGAAAAAAAAATGAAAAAACAAATGATAATAAGAAGATTAACGTACTAAAATTTTAATCGTATAAGTGAGAAGTTGTCTTTTTCCAGAAGAATGAATGGTAAAACTGTAAAAGAAATTTTGGTAGCTAACTTTTGAAAAGTTAATTTTCAAAAACTACAAGCATCTTTTAGTTTGTATTTAGCAAATGGCTATACAAACTTATTAATTAAGACAATAAATTATAAATTCTTAAATAATTTATAAGTTACATTTACCAAATATAGCCTTAGTATTTAAAAGTCATATTAGATACCAATTAATCAGTCTTGAATATAGATTACTCTTAAGGAGTGAAAAGTCTTTAGTGTCTTGTTTTAATCCATAAAATCCAAATTCAAGACCTTATTTAATAAAAATTAAGTTCCTTATTACTTGAATCAATATGTATCAGTAAATATTTAGAAGCATAAAAAAAAAGAACTTGCACATTAAATAGTGTTTGTTGTAAAATATGGAAGTTTGCTTGCATGTTACTCCATATAAAGCAATATGTCACTAATATTTTTGTTTGTTAGATTATAAATATTGTATTTTAAATAATAGAAATAAATATGAATGTAAATAACTTGCACTAAAATTTCTTAAGAATATATTACTTTTGGTGTAAGAATCAATTTTATAAATCTAAAAGACTCACAAGTCACAAAAGATAAAAACTCTTCTAATATCTTTTTTATTCACAAAATTAAAATTAATAAAGTAACATGCCACTTTTTTTTTCATCAATTAATAAATGCATCTTTGCAATGAATAGATTATGAATTTGATCATGAATAAGTTATACAAAATTTACTTTAAGGCATGATATCAAGACCTTGTTAATGAGAAATCAAATTCCTCACCACTTATACCAATAAATATTGGTAAAATTTTAGGAGCATTTGAAAAAGAACTTGTGCATTTAATAGAATTTGTCATAAAATATGAAAAGTAATGCAACATATTGCTGTATGTAAAGTGGCATGCTACACTTTTTTACTGTCACACTGAAAATATTAATTTGAATATAAATAAGTTTAATAAGAAAGTGATATAAAAGTAAGTGTTTAATTTATTATAATACTTTTTAATGGAAACATTTATTATAATAAATTATATTAACGGTTTATTTAAAAAACTTTACTATTCAAAAAGTTGTATGTATAGGTCCACCTCTCCATGTCACCAATCCTTAA